AAGGGATGTCATTGGGTTGTGCTGGAGAACAGCTGCGAGGTGTTATAGCCCTATGTGTAGGCAAGGGGATTGGAAGCTCTGAGTCACTGGCAGCAGTAAGATAGCTGTCCTGACGGATGACTACTTGCCTGCTGTACCTCACAGTCGGCTTGAATGTTGAGGGAGGCTCGTTAGCAATTCGTGGAGCAATTTCGAGATCTCGCATTATGAAACTAGAAGGCTGTGGACTTGGCGATCGGGAGCGGTCCTTAAAACTGGGTAAATCCAATGATTGCGATTTAAACAAAGTGCTGTTTTCGTTTTGACCATAAACTGGACTGACGGACGGGGTGGGGCTTAAATCTGAGATGAAATGAGAAGAGGACTCTACGTAGTACTCATATATTTTTCCATGGACGCCCGTTCTACAATTCCCTGGCCCATCCAAGATAAGGTCAGCATTCTCAACTTTGATTTCTGCCTTTGACTGAAAACTTGAGAACATGCCCTGGTGACCGACGTCTTGTATCAGCTGCCTGCCAACACCCGTGCCACCTTCCAGCTTCTTCATTAGGACTGGGGATCGGCGACCACTTGGACTTCCTGGACCTTTTTCGGTCACACCCGGAAGTTGTAAGGTCAACTTTGGTTTGCCACTCTTCGCCTCAGTTGTATCCTCAATTGCGTCGCTTTTACTTGCAGGTTCCTCCTTTGCATAAAAGTCCATAGTTTCAGGCTGACCCCTTTTCAAGGCAGAATTTTCATTTTTAAGGCTTTCTTGCAAGGGTTTCTCTGAAGATTGATGAAAACGATTTTCCCTGTCAGACTCCTCCTTTGCAGCTTCACTCTGTGGTTCTTGCACAGTATTGTAAGCGCTGTAGCTTGTTTGGGTTGCTTGCACACCCCTTCTTTCACGTCCTCGCCGTCTGTTTCGTGCCCTGGAGTTGTAGAATCTGAAAACCAAGGCGACAAATAGAATGGTGGCCACAGATAGAGTCAGTTTGCCAAGGAGCTGCATGTCAAAATGCACTCCAAGCAATTCTGCAATTGGCATCTCTGTAGTGAAATCTATGGTGGTCCACTGGACATTGGATTTTATTTGAAGCTTCTTCCCTAGCGTATTCCAGCCAGTTCAGGTTGTAGTTTAGTATATGCAAGCAGAAGCACACTGTCAGCTGTCTCTCCTCCCACCGAATGACTAAAAACCTGATATGTACAACAAGAGTATTTGCATCCTGTGTTCTCAGAGGGCGGGGACCAGTATCATTCCACCTGGTGCAGGTGATCGCTATGAAAACACACTAAACCAGAGCTTCAGAGGTTTATCTAACCCTTTAGTTTCCTTGAAGAACTAACATTTTATTGAC